TTGGGGCCGACTCGACGGCATATAACAACAACAACAACAGATGATGGTGAACATTTTGTGTATTTGTTGGTCACCTGCATATCTTCTTTGGTGAAGTGTCTATTCATGTCTTCTGCCCATTTTTAATTGGATTGTTTGTCTTTTTGTTGTTGAGGTGTTAGAGTTTTCTATAAATTTTAGAGATAAATCCCTTGTCAGGTATGTTGTTGCTGAATATTTTTTCCCAGTCTGTAGGTTCTCTTTCTACTCTTTTGGAGAAGTCTTTGGGAGCACATAAAAATCTAATTTTTAAAAGGTCCCATCCATCTAGTTTATCTTCTACTGTTTGTGCATTTTGAGTTATGCTTGACCGTCTATTTATGCCATAAATTGTTGTTGTTAGGTGCCATCGAGTTGTCTCTGACTCATAGCGACCCTATTTACAGCAGAACAAAACACTACCCAGTCCTGTGCCAGCTCCACAATCCTTGCTATACCTGACCCTGTTATTGTAGCCACTGTGCCAATCCATCTTTTTGAGGGCTTTCCCCTTTCTAAATGACCCTCCACTTTACTAAGCATGATATCCTTCTCCAGGGAATGGTCCCTTCTGACAACAGGACCAAAGTAGGTGAGATGAAGTCTAGCCATTCTCACTAACAAGGAGCATTCCAGCTGCATTTTTTCCAGGACAGATTTGTTAGTTCTTTTAGCAGTCCATGGCACTTTCACTATTTTTCACCAACACCACAACTCAAAAGCATTGACTCTTCTTTGGTCTTCCTTATTTATTGTCCAACTCTCACATGCATATGAGGTGATTGAAAATAACATGGCTTGGGGCAGGAGTTCTTGTAGTGTAGTGCCTAAGGCATTTGACTGCTAACCAGAAGGCTGGCTGTTCAAACCTACCAACCACTCCTCAGAAGGAAGATTGAGGACTCTACTTCTGTAGATACTGTCTCGGAAACCCAAGGAGGGGTCACTATGAGTTGGATTGACTCGACAGCACTGGGTTTGGTTTTTTGCTTTGTGTGTGTGTGTGTGTGTGTGTGTGTCAGGGGAACCTTACTCTTCAAGGAAATATCTTTGTTCTTCAGCACTTGAAAGAGGTCTTTTGCAGCAGATTTGCCCAGTGCTGTATGTTGTGTGGGGAGCTCTGGTAGCATAGTGCCTAAGGCACTTGACTGCTAACCAGAAGCTGG